GTAAATAGATGTCTTTTTTAAGGGATCTGACCCAACCTGGAAAATAATCTTGAACATGCCAATGTTGAATCTTTATATTATTACTTAATATAATTTGAATTAAACATTAAAGGGCTAAGAAATCTTATTAGTTACAAAGAGAATTTTTAAAAACGCTTCAGTATTGAAAAAACTATCACATAACGTACACTAAAAGAAAAACGAATTGAAAATCTCGTTCTTTCCGGAATTGTCAAAAAATATTTTCGTACTATCTCTCTTTTCATTTAAGAGTTTGCTCTTGTCGGTGCAACTAATTCATGCATCTTCTTCCAGCCAGCTCTATACCAGGTCATATCCTTGACCTCCCTATACGACATGACACCTAGTGTTTCTTTAATCTGTCCCATGTAGTCATTCCTCGGTCTTCCTCTTCCTCTTTTGCCATCTATTTTTCCTTCTACTATGGTCTTAAAAAAATCGTCATGTCGTATAAGGTGGCCAGAATTTTGCCTCTTCTATTCTCTTCTCGTTTCGTACTATAAACATTCTTAACTGTATTTCGTATTTAACCAACGAAGAAATCAAAAAATGAAATAAAAACCTACAAAACCTCGAACGCAGCTAACAAGTAGAGCATCACTTCTTATTTAACTGCACTTTTTATATTTTTATCTCGGCGATTAAATGTTATTACAGTTTCTATCATCAGATTAATTCAAGAATTTCATGTAATTTTTTATCATTTAGTTAGTTAATAGTTTAGTTTATTGGTTAAATTTAAATTGTACGGAATCTTATACAATTAGAAATGTCGTATTTTCTTATTGCTAATAAAGGAATGGTAACCCTATCTGCACGGGGAAAAAGGGATTATTAGTGATGGGGATTAAGGGCCCCATTGCCAGCACGACCTCCATGCAGTTCCCCCTGAACCATCATGATTAATACTTGTTGCATTCGTTACGATGAGCTAACTGACCTGTTTTCATGCTCATCTATCATCCCTCACTGGTACCCCGCCAGTGTATACCGATAGCGCAGGCGGGATTACAATTCCATTATCATCCAATAAAAAAAACCCCTGTCTACACTATCGATATACGCTACCGGGGTATCGGTGATAAGTTCTAGGTGATGAAGGCAAGTCAGTTAGCTCATCATGACGAATTAAAAAAAAATCGCGATAGTTTCTAGAGAAACCGCGTATAGGTCGGCCCGTCAGGATATATTGGAATGGTGCCGTTTAATTCAATGGAATTCAATTGTTTTTGGGAGGAGGAGGATTGTCAGTCATTACTAATAATCCCTTTCTCCCAAAAGAAATATCGTATTCGTAGAATTCATAATATGATACGTCTAATTCTACAACCGGTGGTAATGAGCCAACTTAAGAAACGGATAATCAATGGGATAGAAAGGTTTTCAAGTACCAACTCCTGGCGAGATGGACGATGATCTCTTAAGTATTGTAAGAACAAAAAGAACACGGAATATGGCGAAGGTGTTGTGCCACATACCTACACTAAAAAAAACAGTCGATTTGATAATCTCCTTCTTTTTGAACTCGGTTGAATAAACAGACTCAATCTTTCATTCTGTTCCACTGACACAGTTCCAAAGTGTATCCTTTGGAAACATTTCTATACAAATGTATAATTAATTGCAACAAATGTAAAATTATTATGAATAACGTATTACGCAGTACAAAGACCTGTTATATCTGAATTATATAACAGTTTGTTAATATTCTACTACGCTATTTCATTGCTTATTCATATTTTTAGATATTTTAGTAGCTAAGTAGGTATTTCTTTATTATATTCTGTTATATCATCATCTCGGCCTTTATCTGTAGGCCTTTATTCATCAGTGGACAAATAATGGCTAAGATAATGATGATGGCATCTTCTTCTTCTTAAGATGCCATTACCTACCGGAGGTTGGCAATCATCATGGCGATCTTTTCCTTGTCTACCGCCATCTTGAAATGGGACCTGGTGCTCATTTCGATCCATTACCACTGCCTTAGATTTTTCAATCAGAAGGTTTCCTGGTCTTCGACAACCTTAGATATCATCATATCAGCCATTATCTCTACACTCCTGAATATAGCTCTCACTCATAGACTGCCGTAAGGATCGGTCCCTAGCCACCTTTTTTTTTTTTTTTTTTTTTTAACGTCTGGAAAATGCTTTATGCAGACCCATACACCTTGTGGGAGGTGAATGGGTACTGTGGGAATCCCCCCGTAAGGTGGGGGTGTACCCACTAAAAACCAGACGATATACCCTCGAGGTGCCATATGTCGGAGACATGGGTTCGCTTTCGCACTCACCACATCTCAGACGGCAGCGACCCGCCCCCAGATGGTAAGAACAGGTCTCCTCTCTCAAGATAGGGTGGATGGCGTGCTCACCCTACCACTCGGAGGATGCGCCGGTATATTAGCACATCCCCCAGGACCATTGGGACAATACCTTCCCACAGGTATCACCCCGGCCCTAGTGGGGAAGGAGGAGGGGCGGAACTGGGCGCGCCCCTCCTTCTGCGTCTGACTCGTCTGCGGCGGATTGACGGTGCGAAAGTGGCACTCTCCCGCTCCCTTTCCGCCGCCTCCTTCTGCGACATGACGGCGTCGCAGAAGGCGAGCATCGCTTCCCACGATCTCTCACTGCTCACCATCCGCCGAACCACGGCGGGCAGTGAGAGATCGGTCCCCACTATCGCGGACAAGATACGACGCTCATCGGCATACGCTGGGCACTCCTCCAGCGTATGCTCCGCCGTGTCCTGGTCCGCTCCACAAGCATGGCACTCCTCCGTCGGCTCCCTGCGCGCGACATGACACAGATATCGCCCAAAGCACCCATGCCCGGACAGTATCTGTGTCATCCTGAAGGTCAGCGGCCTTCGCCGCCTATCCATCCACTTCTTAAGAAGTGGACGGATAGCCTCGACGGTCCTTCGGCCGGCCGATGGATCGGCCAGCCGCTGTTCCCACTCCCGCTGCAGGACCCGTCGAATGTGGTACTTCCGCAGCGCAACTTCCAGCCTGGAAGGCTCGGCACCCTGGCGCCTCCGCTCTGCACGCCACTCATAGACCGACGCACAGGCATTGGCCTCCAAGTCCCAGGGCGGCGAGCCCGCCATCACACACGCCGCCTCCGTGGAGATAGTGCGGTATCCGCGTATAATGCGGATTGCCATGGCCCTATGTGGCCTGTTTAAACAAGCCACATTTTGCCTGCTCAGGGCCCTATTCCATATTGGAGCCCCGTACAGGGCCATGGACCTCACCACCCCAAGATAGAGGCGACGTGCGCTCCCTCCTGGCCCTCCTATGTTTGGCAGCAGCCGGCTTAGAGCACCGGCAGCCGCCATAAGGCGGGGGGCCAACCTCTGGAAGTGCTTACGGAAGTTCCAGCGACTGTCTAAGTCAAGCCCTAAGTACCTCATATGGGGCTTGACGACCAATCTCTGGCCACTGACCATTATGTGGGCTCCCTCTGGTGGCGCTCGTCGGGGTCTGTGAAAGCATAGTACCTCCGACTTCTCCAGCGCCACATGGAGCCCAAGGCGACGCGCACGACCGACGACGAGTGCCACGTTTGCCGTGGCAAGACGGGCAGCTTCCCTGTAAGTCCTCCCCTTGGCAACAACAAGTGTGTCATCTGCATAGCAGACAACATCGCTGCCGGAAAGTAGAGCACCCCGCAAGTTCCAGTCATACCCGATGTTCCACAAGATCGGTCCTAGCACCGACCCCTGTGGGACACCACGCTGCATCTCCCTCGACGTTACCGCCCCATTCTGTCCCACGCAGTGCACTATCCTGTGCTCTAGGTAGGCCCCGATTACGTCCCGTAAGTAGGGAGGCACCTGATGATATTTTAGTGCCTCCCTAATGCACGCAAATGGCAGAGTGTTGAAGGCGTTCTTGATGTCGAGCGACACCGCCAACAGCACCCCACCGCAGGACGTCGCCTCATCCGAGAGAGCCCGAACACGAGCGACGGCATCGATGGTGCTCAGACCCGCACGAAATCCGAACTGCCTCGGACTGAGGCCGGGACCTACTTGGGACAGGTGTTGGTTGAGGCGACCAGCTATTATTCTTTCAAACAGCTTGCCGACCTCCCCCAGTAGTACTATGGGACGGAATGCCGAGGGTACAAGGGAACCTGCGGGGTGCCCCTCCTTCCGTAAGAGGACCACTCTGCCCATCTTCCACTCGTCGGGAAATCGTCCCGTCTCCAGGCACCTGTCGAACAGGTCCCGGAGACGGTCCCCTAGGGCGCCCAGGGCCAGGACTAGAACGCGGCCGGGTATTCCATCAGGCCCCGGGGCGGTGTTTTTCGCCCGGAGCCTATCCACAGCCGCTGCAAACTCCTCCTGGGAGACTCTCGTGGCCCCTACAACTCCGGCACCACTAACCTCATGGCTCCGCGGTAACATGGGAGGGGGTAAACTCCGGCTGCGCTGGGAAAAGCGCAGCCAGTACCTCTTCCAGCTGTTGAGGCGGGATGCGTTCCGCTTCCGGGGGCGCCCAGGGGCGCATTTTGCCCCTTACCGTACGATACGGGCGCCCCCATGGATCCCTCTCGAGAGTTTCGAGAAGCTCCTTCCTGGCCCTCTCCTTGGCGCTGGTGATGGCTAGCCGCAGGGTTTTCGTCTTCCCCCGATAGATCCTATACAGCTCAGCTTCCTCCTCGGCGGTGCGGCCCGTCCTTCTGTGGCGATACCGCGTGTACTGACGTCGAGCGGCCCCCAATTCGTCTCTGAGGGCCGCTATCTCCTCCGACCACCAGTACACCTGTCGCCGAGTAGGAGGGGGACCGGCTCGAGGCATTGACGCATCACATATCTGCGTCAATACCTCCGTGAACTGGTGTGCCTCCCCTTCCACCTCCACAGGCCTGGGACGACTGTCTGATGCCCAGGCCTGAACTAAGGAAGCCTCCATCAAGACGTCCCTATCAAGACGCCTCAATGCCCATTTGGGGAATGTCGGGACGTGCCTACCCCCGGTGATCATGGGCCGGGGCCATGGACGAGGGGAGCACGTCCAACCGAATATAACGGTGGTCAGACATGGTCTCCACCTCGGCCATTACTCTCCAGCCCCGTACCCTGTGTGCGATTGTAGAACTGGCGAGCGAAATGTCAACTATCGACTCGCCATTAAATCGCACACACGTGGCAGCTGACCCGTGGTTTAGGACCACTAAGCCAGCCGCGATCGCCCAATCCTCCAGCAGCTTGCCGCGAGCAGTGGTAACCCGGTCGCCCCACGCCATTGATCTCGCATTGAGGTCACCGAGCACCATCACAGGACGGGTTGAAAATTGTCCTATAAGGGCTCCCAACCCATCTATGTACTGCCCGAACTCAGCAAAACTCCTGTTGGGAGAGAAGTACACCCCGACGACGAGGATTTCCCCCCAGCTCACACCAACGATGCCGGACGAACTGAAGAGACCCACGGCCTGCGGGGAGGTAGGTTTCCTACCAACACTTCCTACCGCAACCAGCGCATCAGTATCGCCGAACCAGTTATCCCCTAGAGGGATAAACAGAGGCTCGGCGGCCACAACCAAATCCACTCCCATTTCTGCGACGCTCTGAAAAAGAAGATTTTGAGCGTCGCGGCAGTGGTTCAGATTCGCTTGCAGGATGCGATGGTGCATTTATCGAAGTTCCATCGCCTCCTGCACACCCCTCTGGGAAGGTCCAGCGGTAGGGGTCATAGTTGGCCCTCTTTTCCACCCCTGAGGGGGGGTACAGGTTTTTGCCCCCACTCGGTGGTTGGCAGGACGACCCGCCGCCGAGCATAGCATGCACTTTGGGGCAGCACTACAGACCGCCGCCTTGTGGCCAGCCTCTCCGCAGCGGAAGCATAGTCCGCTCCGGTCTTCCGCAAGTGTGCATTTGGTACGAACGTGCCCGATGTGAAGACACCGGAAGCAGCGCAGGGGTTGAGCCCTAAGAAGCTCGGCCCTGGCTTTGACCCAGCCAATGCCAAGACGACCCGCCGTCGTAATGCATTTGATCGCAACGACGGGTCCTCTGACCCAGCAGGTACCTAGGCCGGAGGGGCCTCTGCGGATTGTGCCGGCCCTGACTTCATCCGGCCGGCAACCCCCTCCCTAGCGACTGCCTCTGCGACCTCTTCAGGGGTCACAGCATCGTCCAAATCCAGTACCCTCATCTCGGCAGTCTTGCAAGGCCTGGACACCTTTACCCAATCCTCAGGAAGGACCTGTCGGATCCTCTCAGCCAGCTGATCCGCATGACCACCATTCTCAGCGCCCAGGATTTCAATAATCCGGGCGCCCGTAGCTGCCACCTTCATTCTTACCCCCCGATCCCCATGTCCGGGAGACTGATTTTACTCCTGGTCTCCCGGATAATCTGGGAGTAAGTGACTCCGCGCCCCTCAGCCTCGGGGTTCAGAGCCAATACCACCGCTGCTGAACGCGGGGCACGGAGCTTTGCTGGGGAGGGCTTGCCACCGCCATTCTTCTGTGGCTGTTGGGCCGGGCCTCCTGCACGACGAGAATGCTGTTTAGCAGTCATCTGCCTATCCCGCATCTGAGTTTGACGCCCTCTGCGCCTGGACACCTCAGTCCAAGTCTCCTCTGAAGCCATAGCCTCTGGATTTTCCCGGGGGAGGATCGTCGGCAGCGACGGCCAGTTCCCATCCAGGACCTGCGAAGAGAGAGGTCTGACAGCAGTAGGTTGCGGTTGCTGCACCCTTCCGGCCGCCTGATTGGGCTGCCGTTCCGCTGAAAGGCGGGCTTTGATAGCACCCGCCGCTGGCTGGCTCGCAAGGTCGCGGATGCGCGCATCTCTCCTTAGGGCAGGCCTGAAGTTAGCTGGATGCTCAGGGTGGTCAAACATCATCTCCTCGTTCTCTCCCTCAACATCGAGAAAGTGAGCACTGATGTTGGACGGGGAGGCAAGAGGACCGTTATACCCACTAAACCTTCTGCAGACCAGGTCCATCCTCTGGTTTACAGCGGCTCCAACAGATTGTAAGATCTGCGCCTTAAACTCGTCCGGATCAAAGCCCAGGATCTCGCGGAGGTCACGCTCAGGAGCATGCCCGGGGGCATTAGCCCTAGCCAGGGAGGATCTCTCATGCCTCGCTGGAGGTGGTGGAGGGGGAGCAGCACGCCTATTCGCGGTGCGGTTCCTGTCCTCAAGGATCTCTGCCACCTGGCGCTTCAGCTCCCTGACCTCGTCCTCCAGACGCTGGTTTTTTGCCAGCACTGGTGCCATAGAAGTCGGGATCAGGTCGACACCAAGCCTGTCTGCCAACATCTCAAAGGAGGATATACCCTCCTTCAGCTCCTTAACGGAAGCCCCCTTTAAATTACCGCACTTGCGGACTGCTTCCCTGAGTTGCATCGCGTTGGCGTGCATCGCCTTCTTCAACCTGGCAACGGACGCTTCCGCCACCGTTTGCTTCTCAGAGGTTTGGGGAGGGGACTTCTTGCCCTTCCCTTTTCCCTTCTTCTTGGGAGGTCCCGACTGGGATGCCACATCCTCCGACAATAGCCTAAAGCTATTGTCTTCCAAGTAGGCAAGGTGCGTCGTGGCCTTCCCCACTTCATGATAGTGTTGGCCGGAACCACCAACAACTGTATTCCTGAAGTCTCCACCAACATCGACGCTCGAGTCTCTGGAATCAGAGACCAGTTCACCATCACGCTTTCTTTTCCGGGCAGTTGACTCCACCGACGAATCTCTGGACGCGAACGGGGTCGGCAGCCGTGATAAGCCACTCTTGGTTTGCGACCGCGTAACGCGTCTACTTTTCTGCGAGTCAAGCTCTACCTCTCGCATAGCCACCTCTGTACCTTCCTCATCACTGGCCTCTGAGGCCGACCAAAAGGCCATGTCTCCCTGGCGTCCACCAAATCCGAGCGTACTAAGCGACTTTGGATTCGCTTCCAAGCCCTCAATAGCCTCAATATACCCAGGCTCCCCTTTTTTGGATGTCTGTGGCCGCGTGATAGCCACATTCTGCCTCTTCATCTTAGCAGAAGCTCTCGATGAAGCGCCGACCACATCAACTCCGTCCTTCTCGGACACCACATCTTCTCCGTCCTTCACGGACACTACGTCAATGTTTTTTATTTTGTTTAGTTGAGATTCCATGAATTTCCCACGAGTATGGGGGATTGGTTTCGTGCATGGGGTAGCCCCCTGCTTCCATGCACGGCCTACTACGCTTTGGGTGCGGCAGGTGCCCAAAGGTTGGTGCCCTTGTGGCCGATGTTACGTCACCGACCCGCCCACTCCGCAGAACACGCCGACCGAAATAAGTATCCAGCGGCGTGCTCCACAGAGTGAACTGTCCCTCGCCAGGCACCGGAGCTTAAACAAACGGTTTTTATAGAGGTTGTCTCCTCGCGGCCCAGGCAATTAAGCCAAGGCCTCCGTCCCCTCACTCGGGTGCGAAACATGACCACACCTTCGTGAGGGATTACGGTTTTCCGGCGGTGGCACAAAAACCAGCCCGGCTGTGCAGCAAAGCACCCGCCGGGTCCGCCGACCACTCCTACTATGAGGAGTCGCGGGACAGAACCCGCTCCCCGAACGAACACGACAGGCCCAAGGACTTGGGCCCGCCATACACCACTGTCGGAATATTAGCCGTCGGTAAGCGACATCTCTAAGCAGACGTCACTTACCGCCGTTGCCCGGGGTGCACCGTCCCCAGCCATTGTCAGCCGCCGTTCCCGCCGGACGTATCCACCAGGACAAGCGACCATACAATGACCAGGGCGCACTAGGAGGTTTTCCGACCTAGCACCCCGGTCCCTAGCCACCTGCGTCCATTAACTCCCTACAATGCAATTGAAGACATCACTTCATCTACGGGATGGGTCGTCTTACACTGTGTTTACCCGTACGAGATCGTCACTGAACCTTTCTTCCACATCGGTTGTCGGTTCTTCCAGCTTTATTTTTTTTTTTTTATACAACTTAGAATGGCAAACAAGCTGACGGCCCACCTGATGGAAAGTGGTAACCGTCGCCTATAGACATGAGCAGTACCATGGACATAACAGAGTATACTGTTTTGCCCATGATACCCCCCATGCATTGCCATTCCTGAGGACTCAGATGTTATTCCTCTGTACCCAGTAAATTTACGCCAATAATATCAAATAACTCCCTACAATGCACTTGGAAAACATCACTTTATCTACTGGATGGGTCATCTTACGTTTGGTTACGTTACGTATGGTTTGCTCGTACGGGATCGTCACTGAAGAACCTTTCTTTCTCATCAGTTGTCAGTTCTTCGAGCTATGTGATTGGCCTATTGTCACTTCAACTTGCTTATCCTTCGGGGTATGTCAGTCCCTTTGGTTCTTCTGCTTATTCTTCTCTATATTCTCATTTCGGATTGTATCATGCAAAGAAACTTCAAGCATATCCATCCCTATACTTCGTGGAGTAACTTGAAGCTTTTTTATACGAGTAACCGTGTAAGACCATGTTTCGGTTCCGTAGGTCATCACTGTATATATATTCCATCATATCCCTAGTATTATCTCATACATTCGGCAGCGTAAATGTATCTATCGATTGATTAATTTTTCATTTGTTTTACTGTATACTTTAAGGATGTTGTTCGATAATATTTTTTAATATTTTATTGAAATCTATCTTATTAGGATAAAATAAAAATCATTGCTTAATTTTTCTATTAAAAAGTACAGTTAGTGAAACTCAATAAAACATGCCCTTAAAAGGTTAGGAACATCCGTATGTTATTTATCCTAATATGATCCTGAATATAGGTCTAGTACACATTATAAAGACAAAAGATACAAGTTCACTTATATTGCAATAAGACAGGTATATGCACTTTATTATATAGTCAATTCATTCTTCATACCTCGGGATCTCGTACATGTTCGTACCAATTCCCACACGGCTGGTGCATTGTTCGGAATGTCAGCACAGTATAATACGAAAAAAGTAGATCATTGTTTTTCTTCATTAGCACTCGCAAATAATGAGTGTTTACTCACGATTGCACTGTAAAAATTGCAACATGACTATACTAGGTTCAAAACATAAGCGGAAGCGTGCTGTTATATTAATAATAATTTTTGACAAATGACCCTGAATATTCCGTCAGTAATTACAGTCGAGAATAGGGATTGTAACATAAATTTATAAAATATTATTATGCGTGTAGAAATTTTTATACCTAAGTTTGTCAAAGATGAAAAAGGAAATATCGCGTTAATTTGGCCATTTAGAGAGGATAGATGAAAGAAGAATTATGAAAGAGATTTATTAATTACGAACGAAATAATGTTTCGGTAGGCACCGCCCTAGATGAGCATACTCGTATGTCGATCAAATAAGTGACGTGCTGAAGAAGGACCAAATTAAGAATGTAAGAATGAAGTGTATGGAATAGATTGATGAATATGGAAGAAGTCTGTTTGAATCGAAGCATTTAGTCTATGTACGTATTTGTCTAGCAAAAAAAAAACGATATAATTTAAACAGTTTAGTAATCAATTTGTCCCTTTCATAATATATAAATTAAATTATTATTATCTTGGCAATGATGCGAGGTGCACAAAAAAAATCTAATTAATATTAAATAAATCAATAGAATAGTATATAATTTTTTTAAAATTAATCATTTATC